ACTGGAAAGTATCAAGAGTTATTAAATATTTTTTTTTTTTATTTCAAAACAGCAACAAAAAACAAAACTAAGATAACTGAAGTATTCAAGCTCTCTAAAAAATAATATTGAAATAAAAAAATTTTAAAGAAAATTATTAACTCAAATATCAATTAAATTTTTCTATATAAAAATTTTTTGAAGTAAAAATTTACTTCCTATTAACTTAATTTGAGATAATTATAGTTGAAAGTATTTTTTTTGCATATGCACAGATAAAATTTGCAACAAAAATTCAACTATTAAAAAATGCAGAGTAAAAATGAAAAAATAAAGTCAGTAAAAAGAAATAAAATAATAAAGAAAGCTAAAGTTAATAGAGCTGCAATATTTTGGAAGAGATTCAAGAGATGCATTAGCCTATTTGTATGCAAAAAACGAAATACTTTGTAGAAGAAAAAAGAGGATGATAAAGAGAAAATCGAAAGGAAAAGAAATGCCACTAAAAACTGCTTAAATTTTTTATTTCTCTCCAACAGAATGTGTTGCACGTATATATATTTCACGGGTATGGTATCACACACAATACAACGTTTGTCGGATTCAAGATTTTTCGATTTCCGATTTAAACTTCCGTAAGCACTATCAATAGCCATTCAATGCGAATCAATAGGCGTTAAATATACATCAAGAAAATAAATAAATATAATAAAAATAAACGTTAACTGCAGACGTCCAAAGTAAATAAGATACAAATGCGCTGAATGTAAGCGTAAATTCATTTGTCAGTCATAAAAAATCTTGTAAATTTATTTACACATAAAACGCTAACAAGTTTAGTGTAAGATATTGCGTATAAGGGAAATAAGGAAAGTAAAAAAAATTGAAGGTGATGATCTGACGGTAAGGAATTTACGAGAGTTAAAATAGATTGAGTTTAAGTGCATGAGTATCTTGTACATTTGGTTCGTTATTATCTTGCCGTAGGTGTGCTGTACGAAGAAGGATAAGACGCCGTTCTCTGACTTTACTTGAAGCTCCTAAATTTAAAATAAATTGACACGGAAATTGATTCAAGGTGCAATCGGTGGTGCTGTCGAGGTAGTAGGTATGAAATTTTCTTATCTCAACGCCGCGTTAGTGAGTAAAAGGATGCACTCGCGAATAAATTACGGCTATATAGCCTGATTCTCGTGTGGTATTCTCATTTATACGTTAATGCATCATAATGCATTTCATTGAAACACTATTATATGCTCCATACATATAAAATAGCCGTATGATTGTGTACACAAATGGAAGAAGCTGGGATCAAAGCGCACTCTGAATAATTATAAAGTAATACCAAAGTGTGGATTTTGAAAAACAAATTTTTTTATCTCTTTCAGACTCGTTTTAAAATTTGAATACACTGTTGACATTTTCAATCGGCAGTTAGTCAGAGATAAAACGTTTCCTGAGGCTATGAAAATGGTTTCCACTGGTAGAAAACTGCTATAGATTTTATTTTTACTTTTGGTAGATTGTAAACATTTACATCAATTATTTGTTTATTACAGATTCGACATGTCAGAGGCAGTTGCGATATTGAATTCTTTTTGTTACAAACGAAAAATGTTTACTTAGTGACATGTTGTATGAAATCGGTAAAAATGGATTGATTTTCTAATACAATATGTATTGTCTGTATTTTTTCTTCCGTGAAAAAAATGAATGAATAAAAAGGATAAAAGTTTAAAAAAGCAATTTTACCGTCCTTAAAAGTACGAATGTTGTAAAAAAATTCACTGTATAAAAACAAAGTCAAACGAAAACAGAAAGTTAAATGTTGATTTGTGGTTTAATTTCTTTCGTTCGCTGGAAAATGTATTTATTTATTGGTTTATTTCTTCTTTTATTTTTTAACTTGATCGACTTGTAAGAGTGTAGAATATATAAATACAAATAAGTGAATAAAAAAGTTAAATTGAATAGTGCAATAAGATAATAAAATAACAGAATAGTTTGAACAATGGAGTTGAGGATAAATGATAAAAGTAACGATCGAAAGTTGATTAAATTGAAGAAACGCATAACGGGGGAATTTGTTTTCGAGTCATGTTTTCCCTTGAGAACAAGAAAAATCGACAACATGATATTTTTTATCGAGCAAGTTTTTTTTTGCTTTTTTTTTCTTATCACAGTTACCAAACCAACAATTATTGTCTTTTTTTTAATCTTAACCCCAGTAATCATTGATCATAGCGTTTGGAGTGAGCAACAGAATGTCAAATTTTCATCAAGTATTTGTAATTTATCTTCGAGCTCGAAAGTATAGAATTTATATAAAAAAATTTTTATTTTCATTGTGAGAAGTTAGAAATTTAATTTGATAATTAAAATTAATTACAAATTTTAATGAATTTTTCTGTTTTAAGGCATGATTTTAATTACTTAGAAAAGCCTATTCAGTCAAGTTTATTCAAGCTTTTTAATCGCATAAAGTGTCCTTGAAGAGAATAAAACAAAAATGAATAATGAAATTTTCATAATCACATAGCTTGAAAAAGCGGTTAAATTAATTTACTTCTATGGTTGGTATAAAAAGTTGATATGAGTTTTAGTTAAGTATATGCTTATGTATACATATATGTGTTTATATAATATGACTAACCACAGTTGAACTCTTTATTCTCATCTCGAATTTAAAGCTTTTTTCTGCGTTCATCTCGCACCTGATGCCGTACACTTCTAGTCAGGACTATTTTTCTCTTTACGGGCAATTGACGTCAAATTAACTGTACTCGCTTGCCAAATAAATTCTCTCTTAAATCCTTTTCATATTTAATGCCGAGTCATAATTTATGATTATTTCCTGTTTTTTCTTTTCTTCTTTTGTCAATTTAACCCTAATTAAAGATCCGTAAAATAAATAAAAAAAAATTTTTTTTGTTCTCTCATGAATTATACAAATACTGAGAGAAATAAAATAAAAACACTTGCTGAATAATTTTTTATTTAACTAACGACAGAGTTTAAGTGGATGTTTATTTTTAAAATTATTCTCGTCTGGTTAAATTACACTAGACACTCTCAAAAATTTATCGATAAATTTTTAAACTGTAGAAAAAAGCAGAAAGAGTTGCAGGTAAAATAAACTTTTACTTGGAAAACGTCACAAACATATAAAATTCAAAAGGTAAAGAAGAAATGTCAAAAGCTTAAGTAATCCATTATTCAAGACGCATCATCAAGTTTCGCTGAATTTTTTTTTTGTTTTTTTTAGATTCATTAGATTCTCTATACAAAAAAATATTGATCTTCATTACGCTATTAAATTATTCAATAAATAAATTTTAATGTCGTTTAGTTGCCACAAACTACACTTTTTAACTCAACTTACATTTTTTATTTTCATGAATTTTTTAACAAATATCTGTCTCTGCTATTTTTACAACTACAAACCATCAATTAAATACTGTAACATATTCTACATTGAATGTTTTTGCAGCGAAAAACATCGATAGAGAATTGTGGGATAGATAAAAAAGTTTTGCACATCTCAAGCGCTGAGTGCTTTATTGATACATCAATATTTCGACAGATTTGCTTTTCCTGAATTTTTTATCTATCATTGACAATATATATCGCCTTATCGTTAGTATGCTAATACAAACAGGCAATGTAAGTTAATGTTTGACGATATATCAATATCGTCAGTTTATGGGTGATTGAGTCGATTGCTTTTACGACAAAATGGTATCGATAATGTAACCTTAACCACTAACAATTTTCCTATCATAGTTATAGTGATTTTTAAAGAAAATAAAGTATTAAAAAAATGATTCAAATTTTTGTAATTTACCACAAATATTATTTTATTATTCATATTGCTTTCTCTATTTAAAAAAAAATTTTTTTATGTAAAAAACTCAATTTGCGTGATTTAATGAAATTCTATTATCTATTAAAATTATGGAATTTGAAAAAGTACCCAAGTAGAATTTTTATACCCACTTTTTATTCAAAAGTCTAAAAAATATTTATTAACAATTAATTAATACTAGCAACCTTATAGTCAATATGTGACTGCTGTGACTTGTAAACTAAAAAAAATAAAAATTTTGCTTTATTAAATAATTATTTTTGTTAAATTGCACGGTAATTTCTTAAATATTGACGTTTTTAATGATACAAGCTCATCCCAATATTACACTCGTCAAGAGCTTTCATTTGAGTACCCACATGCATATTTGATATATTTTTCATATATACATATATATAATGTATATTTTAAAGATATAAGCTCATCTAGATGTTACACTCATCAAGAGCTTTCATTAGAGTACCCACATGCGTTTTTGATATATTTGTCATATATACATATATATAATATATATAAATATATGAAAAATTGATGTGGGTACTCAAATGAAAGGTCTCGATGAGTGTAATGTCGAGGTGAGCTTATATCTTTAAAAATGTCAATAGTTCACAAGATACAAGGTCATTTCTTAATTATGTATCTAGAGATAAAGCATTTTCGAGTGCAGCCTAAATACTTATCATAATAAATTGACTATAGGTGAGAATAATATGAAACCTTGCAAAGGCACAAATTCAAATCAAGACCTTTGCAATAACACTTAATTTCACTGAAAAAACCGATTTTATCATATGACTATCATGGACACAAAATTTTTCTTATTCTCTCAATAATATAGATTTATTGGCAACTAACGAATATTTGTTAACTATTAATAAATATTTGCTAAATATTAATTTTCTGATGTAAGAAAATCATTTATTAGATCAATCTATCATCTAATAAAGCTTATAAAATTCTAAAAAAACCTTACTATCAGTATAAGTATAAATTTGTTGAGTTTTCAAGTATTTTCTCGAATAAATAAACCCATAACACCTTTAACTGTACGTAAACATTATTACAAATAATAAGAAATTCTTGAAAGTGTTACGCAACCTTTTTGTTGAACCAACAAACTCAGTTAGTTTGTAAATAAATAGATAAGTTACGAATGTTACTTAACACAATTTTCTCTCAAACGTAAATTTGGAACCCACGCTACAAAATTCCTAATGATAAGTAAATAAACAGAACAAAAAGATAAACTTACTCGGAATGCATCGCGTAATTCTTGTTCCTCCTGTTGCTCTTGAGTGAGATTTGTCTGCTGAGCAGCGTTTGCATTCCCTATATCACTAACAATCTTGACAAATTCTACTAGACTGACATTTCCATCGCCTGAAAAAAGGAAAAATCAGTAATTAACATGAAAATAATGGACCATTGTTGATTGAGTGATCATAAGGACATTAATTGAAATTGAAAATAAGGTCTAAATATCATCCGGATGATTTAATTTATCTAAGTGCACCTCAATACAGAGCATACAGAGCATCCAAACAAAATCCCAGGAATTGTTTGTCATAGATCAACTATTGAGATAATTTGTCATTTAATTTGTTTACTTTCACGCCCGTCAATATAACCCAAATGATAATTATTGAAATGATGTAACCCACAATGGCATACTATAAACGCTGATCAATAACGTCAATCCCATCACATCAGACCTTCATTACTCTTATACTCATCAATTAAATTTATTCATCGCGAAATAATTGAATTGGTTATTAGTCATGATAACAAACAAGTTATCAATAAATATCATACCTTTATTGAATCACGCTTTCGCTTTACGTTCATCAATCAAATTTATCAATAACGAAATAACTTAATTGGCGATTATAAATATTTGATGAATTTTTTTTAAAAGGACAAGACTAACAACTCAAACATTTTGATTTTCGATAACTAGATTTATGTACATAGTTATTGAATTTTCTAGATTTATTTAATACTGCAGTGATGCACTAAAAAATATTCATTAATTTAAGAATAATATCTTCTTCGAATTTTTACACAGTAAAAAATATTGTGTTAATATTCAACACACTTTGCGTTATTTTAACACAGTGTGTTGATTTTATACAACATTTTTTACTGTGTACTTTTGTTTCGAGACATTCAGTAACTAATTTAAGAAATTTACACTAGAATAATGTAAAAAATAATTTTTTTTCGATCAAGAAAATTTTTTTTGGGTCAAGTAATTTTTTTTTCAATGTATTTTCCATTATTCTAACTAACAAAGTTATATTTAATTAATATTTAACTAAAGATATTTCTATTAAATTTTCTATAAAAAATCTTTGACACTATTTATAAAATTTAAACTACAATTTCAAATTCAATTGTCCATTAATAATTTTTTATTGCATTGAAATGATTAAAACTGTAATAAAAAAAAAGTTTACAGTAAGAATATCGCGACTGGACAGCTGCGCGATAATAGAGCACACTCAATTGTTCGCACTTGAGGTGTGCAATTTTACAACTGAGTGATTCTAAACTCCAAGAAGTGTTTTTATTGCGCCAATATCACAGCATACGCTCCAATAGATTCAACTTATTATACTTGGATGTCTTGGACGTAAAATATTAGTTACACTTACTAAATAAAATTGCTTTTATTAGCTGTATATATTTTTTCCTGTTACAATTGCTGCTACGATACTGTGATCACTTACTGGCTTAGGTGTAACAACTTTTAAATTTATGACTGGCTACTCGTAACACGCTTGCTTGACCTTAATGTTTACAAGTGTTAACTTATTGATACTGCAGCCGTATCTGCATCAGAGCAGAGCATCAGCAAAAATAAAAAAAAAATTATTGAATTAAATAAACTTGACTGAAACATAAAAAGATCTTTATGCTCGGATAAAAATGAAAATTAGCATTGAAATTTATTTTTATTCAAGCTTTTAATTAGCGATAAATATTTATAATGTGACATTGTGTATATATGTATAGTGTAGTAGTAGAGCAGAAAAAATAAAATTAAAAATCTGCGCATCTACACACACTGTAATTGCATGATAATGTGTGTTAAGGTAAATGAGAATAAATTATGTAAACGGATGAAACAAAAGGATTAAACAAAATTATAATAATCGTGATAATAAAATGCCAGTGACATCAACATGTCTCAACGACGACATTACTGTGTTCTAAATCCCGTTTAGTCCTAGACTTCACTCGAATTAAATCTGGTTCAAGTAAGTCGCAAATCTTTTCTACAAAAATAAACGTGTAAATACAATTTATTTCTTTATTTTTCCTCGTGAAAGAAGTACAAAAGAAAGATAAAATTGGTGACAAATGAATTGCTTTGTATTTTTTATTTTCACCCTCATGACTTTACTTTCTTCGGAATTTTTTGTCTAAAAAAAAAAAGTTTGTCATTTCATTACAATCTATAGCTTGTATACAACAGTTTAAGTGAGTTAAGAAAAAGAAGACACGAGGGAGCAAAACGAATATAAAGAAGCGGTTCCGGTGATGTAAAGTTTACTGTCGAAGACTCGAAAGTTTAAAATCAATCGGTGATTGACTTTCAAAGGTTTTATTTTAGTAACGATGGTTCGTGACAATGTCGTTTAGTTTTTTTTTCTTTTATGTTAAATAATTGATGTATTGAAATTAAATTCAAGAATTCATAAAAAAATATGTTATTAAATTAGAAGAAAAAGTTTTTTTGATAAATTCTAAAATTTAAAAAGTAATTAATCTATCATCCATGAAAAATTTTTTAATTTGGCCTTATCAGGCTAAGTATAAGAATAAAAAAATTTTCTCAGGGTATATGAATTTTTTTAAGCGTTAGATTAATTATTTTGTTTAAATTTAAGCAATAAAATTGAATTAAAAAAATAAAAAAAAATACTAACTATTAATTTGATTTTTCTACAAAGTTGATTTAATCGCATTTTCCCCGTACATAATTTAATAACTAATTTTAGTTTAAAAGCTAATGCTGGTTGCTGACATAACACTGTACAATGCCAGCGTATTATGATAATAACTATAACAATCGAAATATAGCTTTTGTGTAGGGCCTTTTGTTCATTACAAAACAAGACTGCTCATTTGTATGAAATCACAAAGTTATTATATCATTCGACTAAATTTCAAACTACAAGTGCTTATGCACAAGGCGAAAATTTAAATGCCACCATTATGAAAGAGTGAAAATTATAGACGATGATATTCAGCCATTTAAAGTTAATTATAATTACAATTACAACAAAATCTTTGACGCTTTAGTTATAATCGTTCTAACACGACAATTAGCCCGAGGTCTAGCGCAAGTTATTCAACTCAACCATCTACATCATAACTATCCACTGTGTATACTTTAGCCCGAGCAACCGCCTGAAGCTTACCAGCTGCTTTTATAACTTATTTTTGTCAGCTAAAAAAATTTAACCTGACTCGTTCCTTACTCTTATGAAAATATGAGTTCACGTACTGCATACCAGGTAGAAAAATTATTTCTAGTTAAAAACAGAGAATGTGATACTGCATCCTTTTTTGCACCTCCTGTTGTTTGCGATATGACTACTAACCCACTTGAAATAATACTTCACAGTAAATTGCAAAGAGTCTAAGTTACAACACGATGTACTCGTGATTCTTCTTGCACTCAGACATCTAATTTTCTTTATCTTGTACTGGTAAGCTCTATGCTACAGTGGAAATGTAGACAAAAACTATACGATAAAAGTTTCATCCCCTCGCAAAGTGTACATTACATACAACTTCTTTTCAGGGTAAATCATCATGTCTATTTATTTACTTGTTTAAAAAAATAAAAATAGTGGAGTTAAATTTTTTTAACCTCATGATAAATACTGAGATTTAATTGAGAACGTAGAAGTTATGTTTATAAATAGAAGTATATTTAAATATACTACTTCGAAAAAAATATTTATCAGTAAAATATTATAAAATAATTATTTTCATTTTATAAATGCAATTGATTTGAAATGAATAAATTTATTAACAGTTGATAAATTCTTCCAGCGTAAGGAGTTAGTATTAGACTAGCAACTTTGCAGTCACTATGTGACTGCTGTGACTTGTGAACTAAAAAAATTAAAATTTTGTTTTATTAAATAATGACTTTTGTTAAATTTCACTGTACTTTCTTAACTATTGATGTTTTTAAAAATATAAGCTCATCCTGATGTTACACTCATCAAGAGCTTTCATTTGAGTACCCTCATGTATTTTGATATATTTTTCATATATACATATATGTAATATATATAAATATATAAAATATATGAAAAATTGATGTGGGTACTTAAATGAAAGGTCTCGATGAGTGTAACATCGGGATGAGCTTATATCTTTAAAAATGTCAATATTTCACAAGATAAAAGGTAATTTCTTAATTATGTATCTAGAGAGTATTTTCGAATGCAGTTTAAATACTTATCATTATAAATTGACTATCGGTGAGAATTAAATGAAACCTTGAAAAGGCACAAACTCAAGTCAAGACTTTTGCAATGACACTAAATTTCACTAAAAAAACCAATTTTATCATATGACTATCCTGAAAAAAAAATTTTTCTTATTCTCTTAATGATATAGATTATTATTCAACACTAATTTTGCATTTGAAGCGTTGCATTACTATCCTTTGTTTTCTTTTTTTTTTTTGTTAATTTCTTTCGGAAAAAAACAAAGTTACTCTTGCAACTCACGTCCAAACTTTAATTCTCAAAGAAGTTTTACTTTAAAAATAAAAATCTATCACAAAATAAACAAAATGAAATTTTGAGTTTTTCGTTTAAGTTAAAACTCTGTATCAACCACATCCTGGTTAGCTTCCAAGTTAGTGAAGAAAATAGTTAAAATTCCAGTTCGTCTGTGAGATGAAATTAAGAATTTCAAGAATTTGAGGAATTGAATAGAGATACTTATTCATGAAATTTATAAAACGGAATAGTTAGTAAAGGAATTTTACGTGATTTATAATAACAAAATCCAAATAAATAACTTATAATTTACGATAATATCTAATAACTAAATTAAACTGGGTAACACGTAAATCCTCGTATAATATGGATAACTTAGTTGTTCACGCGTATTAAACACAGAAGTTACTTAAACTTTTGAGCTGATACTTGAATCAATCTACATAAGGCTGAAAGTGTCATGAAATACATTATTAAATTTTAATACCGACTGAATTATAATACGAAGTAACTGTGATGAATGGGATTTGTAGTGTGTGCGTAGTAATGTATTGCATGTTTTTAATAATATGTTGGTAAACAATATTTTTATGGATGGATAAAATATAATATTCAACTATTTTGATGATATGTACAGTGCACTGTATGATCCGAATTTAAAGGAAAGGTCGAGTGAATACTTATTCACCAGATGATGAAAATGCAACGATGCATACATACTTTGCATCATATTCATGAACGCGAGAATTATTTATCAAGGGCCATGAAACTAGGATCTTCTCTTTATCCATCAAGTCATTGAAAACATCTTTTTATTAAGAAAACTTTACATTTTTTTTCAATTTATTATTATTATTATTATTATTATTATTATTATTATTCCATAATTTTCTAAAATATTCTATTCTTATAAATTTGTCGACTAATATTGAAACCAATCGATCATTCGTGTCATATGTTAATGATTTAACTGCAAACAAGTCTAAAACCTCGTTCTTGTTTGACACATACGTTAACGACCTAGTATAACGATAAACACCAGAATATTACAGTCAACAAAGCTGTAATTTTAATTTCAATTGCAAAAAAGAAAAAAATCCATAAGCATAAATATAAGAAAACCATCCAGCAGTATCTAAATCAACGGGAGCTTTTTGTTAAAGTTGTCACTGTCCCTTAACTACGAAACTTTTACAAAGTGAAAGTAAAATTAGATAACAGAGAATTACAAGTTGCTAAGATTTAATTGCAATTTATTTAAAACGTTGCTTCGGATTAAATGCAATTAATTTTGCTCTTAAAGTATTCAAACACTCGGACTCAGACATGAAAATATTTGGAATCCAACATATAATTAATTGTCCTCACGTCTTCAATTAATTAAATTCCTCCTTACTTTTTATTTTCTACGGGAAAAAAACAACCTCGCAATGTAATAAGAATAAGACTATCGAGTAATTGATTCGAGTCCTCGCACAGTAGAATAAAAATTTATATATAAATGGAATAAATAACGAAACATCAATTTGAAATAATATTATATTCGTCGTAGCAAGAGACAATTTTCCGATAGGATAACAACGTCGTTGATTAGTACTCCGTACCGAATCCAAGAGAGAAATTCAAAGTTCAAAAGTCATATTGAATTATGCTAAGTAGTTGAACAAGTACTTTTTCAAATCTTGTCATATGTTTACCCTAATAGCTTCTTACAGAATTACTCTAAAAATAGCGAGGTAAAAACATTTTCGATAATTTTTATTATATTTATAATACTTAGTGCAAATGCAAAGATGCTTCGAGCGACGTTAAATCTTTGGCGAATGCATCGACTGCACTTCTGAAAATGCTCTATAAAATGTAGGCGATTACCTCTCGCTATTCTATTGGCAGATCTTTAAAAATTTACGATGACTAGAAGAGCCAGTATTTTTTATTTTCCATCTACTACACTGTATATACCTCTTTAACTTACTTATCTGATAGCGGAAAAAATTCTCAATCTCGAAGGTCTCGATCCATCCATTAAGATATTACCGTTTACGCTCAATAGTTATGTTATTGGTTCATGATATTCTATTTACGATGTGCTGAGTCTTTATCTAACATAATCACAATCTGGAATTTTCTTATAATATTAGCTGATATTATTTTTATAAATTCAGCCGAACGAATGTATTAAATATTCAGTAAGTATTGGGAAGGATAATCGATCAAAGAGATAAAAAATTGACAAATAGCACGATATCGAGATCACTAGACTGATATTTAATGCGCGACAATAAGTCTTGGTCATATTCTAAAGTTTTTATTTGTAATTCCTGGAAGAAAAATGTGGGTAGAGGGTTAAAAATGATCGTAATAGATAATAGAAAAGATATTATTTTTAATAAAACACTGTTATCTTGGATGGAAAAATTAATACCCGCAATAAATATTTATTATCTTGTGAAAAATTTGACTGTGAAAAATTTTGTAAGAGTTTCTGGGGAGAGGCATTTTAAATCCGATTTTTAGTGAGCTGGGTCATGATGGATTAGTCCTTTGTTTCAAATATTGTCGGTTGCTGGATAAAATATTCGCGGTCGGAATTTTTTTATTTTTTCTGCTGAAAAGAGGCAGAGATCAAACCAGAATAAGTTATTCTTATTCAAATTATTTTTTTCTATATTCCAGCTTGTTTTTATATATTTAGCTATTTAAAAATTTTTATTCACTTGCAAATTTTATAAGATCACACTAAAAATAAAATTTGATATTTTAGTTAATTAATAATTAACTATTTCAGGCTTCAATACTATTTCAAATTATTCATTTAACATAGTAAATTTTTGAGTGAAGATAATTCTTGGCTTAGTACGAATATTATCAAAAATTCTATTAGAAAATTTTCTGCGTTTGCTATAATATGATTAATTAAACATAACAAGTAGTGCAAAGTTTATAAATCACTCTTTGAATATAAAACACTATTTACCATAACTAATTAACACGACATCCAAGATAATGACTAAACTTTTTAAAGTGTATTGTTACTTATTTAACATATTCATTACCTAAAATTCGACGTAATATGCTCACAAAGGACGCTTTTGTTTTAATATTTATTATACATTAACTCCTTAATGCATTTGTATTTGCTAACAAATCCAGAAGGTCTCCGTATTTATAATTGTATTTTTCATAAATAATTCATAAACTTGATAATCTTGTTGAAATTTCATAACTGTACAACTTTTTGAAATAAAATAAAAGAACCAGTTTGTATCAATGGATAACTTTAATCCAGTTGAAACATTGCAATATATATATAAATATATCAACAACTATAAAGTAAAGTAATAGCAAGGATCAGAAATGTAACAAAAATATAGTTCATGAAAGTCAAAATATCTTGAAATGAAAAATATTGAAGAGTCAGCAGGCGATTATAAAAAAACAACTTGAAATACGATCCCCGATAGAGAGATGGATGTCATGACAACTTTATTTTCCTTGAGTTTGTCAAGCATCCGTGAAATTTTCCGTCTCTATATATTTCTTACTGTATTACGACACAAATAATATTTTTTGTTCGATTTAATTTTTTTACTAAAAGCAACTGGAATAGAATAAACTGAAATCGTATTGACATTAAATAAGCCAAAATAATATTTCAGTGAAATCATAAATAATATAATTATTAAAAGAATATCAAATAGCAAATATTTTGTCTAATTCAAATTATTTAACTCCCAACACCAAAGACAACTTTAAATATCATAAATATAGGTCGGCGAAAGTAATGGCTGTTGGCTGTTACTAGAAATTACAATTTTAAAGTAGGCTTCCAGTTTTAGTGAATTAATAGCCTACATATATACTAACTAGTAAATTTATCGATGATTATATATGTATATATATTGAATTGAGCACTCATTTATATTAATATATACAACTTTTGAATGTTTTCAATTTTTACGATTTCCAGAAATCTGTTATTATAATATTTATATACATATTAAGAAATAAAATATATAAAATAACGTATATTTTTATTGTGCTTCGAGTATTCGTTTTCAAAAACCCGCTTTGTTAAAGAGGTACTGTGCAAAATCACTTTTCTTACAATATTCTTCAACTTTTGAATACGCGTACTTTTAAGTGTCCTCTATACGAATAAATTTTTTTTAATAGTCCTTGCGGTGCTGATTTTCGAAATATTAGCAATTGAAAATCGTACATTTAACATGTATTCCCTATCCTGACCGTAGTTAAAGTGAACATTTTGTTGAATAACAACCATACTTTTCTTAGGATTTTTTTGAAAAACCGAGAATATTCAATTGATGTTATAACAAGTCGACGGTCTAATTAGCAATTTGTCTAACTCCTTATTTTTTAGAGGGTGATTTTTTATCATTTTAATGTAGCAATAATCCAATTATAAATTCTTTGAATGATTTAAACCTTAATATTGTAACTCTATTAGATATTAATGATATTAAATGGTTTTTTAAAGTGATTATAAATTTTGAACTAATTGTTTTTTTTATGCAAATACAAGATTCTCTAAAATGGAGTTAGACAATTTGCTAATTAGAACGTCGAAGTATTTTTTATCAAAAATAACACAAACGAGCGGTATTCATTTTTTTTATAAGAAGTGTTTGAAGTTAGGACTTTTCGATATTTTACGTGAGTGGAAGTAAGTGAGCGATAGTCTGTAAAGAGAGGCAGCACTAGTGCATGAGAAAAAAACCAATAGCCATAACCTATTGGTGTCTTTTTCTTGCCGTAATACCTCCTTAACCTGAAAAACGCCAATTTCAAGTATAGTTCTTACATTAATTTTTCCGAATGCCATCTTTCAGAACTCTAAATTCATCTCATCGATAAATAAAGCCAATATGATAAACTTTCTATCTTATTTATTTTTAAAAATGTACGGAAATAAGAGACTAAAAATTTTTTCTAAATAAATCTTTATAACAATTAATTTAAATAGTCTTTTTTGATAAGTATCGTCTTAATAGTTTTTTCCACCAAATCTATAGGCAACAACGCTTCGGTACTATCTTACAATAATTATCGAACAATTTTAGAACAATTAGAACGCTTGTCAATCATACTTTATCTTGTTTATCACAAAATAAACCTAATTCGACTCTTGCTGTCATTAAAAGTAATTTAACTAGAAATTCTTCGTCGCTTTTTTTTACTGATGACTGATACCAATTATCTTTAATTGAACCTACATTTTAATTATTCATATCAACAAAATTTATATGAAATTGTCTTATGAACGTCATATATTTCTTTTTTTTTCTAATTTTCAGCAAAACAACGAGTGGTTGGTGTACCTATTAAACTCTCGCTTCTACTTGATAGGGGAAATATTTAAACGAGAATGTGAGTTATTTATGATACGGTGAGTTATTTGTATACGAAGTGAAACATGACTCGATTCGATCGAAAATTTTGTGGATTAATTTGACACCTAAAACTATTTAACATACAACACATGCCTTTCATTATTTAAATGCAGTTCTAGAGTATTTTAATCGTATTTCTGTCATTAAAACTTACCATCAGTGTCGATTTCCTCCAGCATTGTTCGCAATTCCTCTGTCCTCGCGAATTGCCCCAAACCGCGCATAACTCTGCCAAGTTCTTCTTTCGTGATGCTGCCATCACGATCTTTATCAAAAAGGTTGAATGCTTCTTCGAATTCTTTACAAAAAAACAGTTTTATCCAATTAAATTCCCGGTCAATTGGATCAAATGAATTGAAACAAAGTAAAGGTAAAAAAAATTGGTTGTCTGTAAAGTCGGTTTACGGACGATAGTTTTACGTGATAACGTCATAAAGAAACATTGATGAAAAACTGCATACTTTTGTGGATCGAATTGAATTATTATCACTGAATTATCATTATTTTGTATTTAAAAATTTCAAAATTTTGAATATTTAAAAATTATTTTAACAAAAAAAAGGACTTGTTGATAAATTGTTAATCAAAAATTGATACAATAATTTGATAATTGATATGATTATTATTATTTATAAATAATATTAATTATTTTATTAATTTATTATTTGTTATTATTTTATTAATTTATCGTTTACAATTATTAATAATTTATTTATTTATAATTGATATTCTTTATCAACAATTATTAATATTTTCAACAATAATAATCTGATATAATTGATATAATTTGTTTAAATATAATCACAAACAATTAGTTATAGAACAATATTCTGACTGCTAGCTCTGACGTTACGCGAAAAGAGAGATATATGTCATAAGCCAATGCTTGGGCCTTTCTATCGTTTGTTTGATCGTGCCTCTCTATATCGCTTGTTGCGCGCTCTCACTTGCACTTACAGGCTCAGGCAGAACGCTCAAGAGGAACACAAAAGCGGAACGGTCTGTCGGAACGCGACATTTTTTCGTGAGCGCTGTCGGTGTTCATCAATTTATAAGACGTTATCACGTCAAAAAAATAATATAGAATATTATAATATTACCTTTCATTTGGGCTTTACTAATAGCAGGCAGTTGATCACTCGGAGTAGTGGATCCTCTGCGAGAGTTTGGTAACTCGAAAAGTAAACTAGTAGGAAGTCTCGTTTGTCCCGATACTGAAGAACTTGAAGAAGCCGTCGAGATAATAAGTGGCTCCATCTTTGTGTCTGTTGTTGGCTCACAACCGGTTACTTCGATAGCTTGAACAGGACAGTCTGCTCGTAGAAGACATTTATCATGTCTCGGCTCTTCTAATGTCTCTTGTTTCTCTGTTGAAATTATTTTATCGGTATCATCGCCGAACGGAAACTGCTGTCGAATTGATGTTAAAGTTGACGTAAATTCATTTGGCACTGACGGTTTTTGCGCATCCGCCCAGGAAGTTTCACTAATCGATGGCCTTGAAGAACAACTACCGGGTTCTTCGTCGCCTCCACTTCCTCCATCAGTGTCTTTACGTGTCTGGAAACCAACAGAAACAAGTCAGACAAATAGAACGAACATGAAGAAAAATTTATTAAAAGAGAAAACTAAACTAAACTTAATTGGAGGTGTGCAAATAGTTGATTTCATTAATTATTACGGTCAAATAATTAGAACTTTGTAATAGTTAGAAGTATTGGAAAATTTTGATAAAAAATTGTCATCTATAATAATAAAATTACAGTTATTTTTAAAAATTCTATGTCATAATTACAATCAAAAAATGCTTTAAAAAATTTCCATTAATAATTTTTTTTTAATTTTCAAATGTTGAATTTTTTTATTACATTTTTTTCATAATAATTTTATTGCTATAAGATTCTAAAAAAAATTTTTAATGTCCAGTTAATTTAAGTCTTAAAAAATAAATTATTTTTTTTTATATATAGCCTAATATAATCATATATTACCAGATCAGGCAATGTATATAATTTTTTAACATTTGATGTTAAATTTAATCAAAAATGTTAGTTAATTTCATTTCATACAAAAGAATTAAAATTTTTATGTACTAAAGTACATTAAATGAACAAAAATTTACAAATTTCCTGCAAATGCATTACAATTTTTGTGACAACTGTAATAAATAATTCAAAAAATTCAAATTACTGTAATAACCTTTTCAAAGTTTTGCATTTAACCGATCTAGTTGAATATTTAATCAACTATTTTGTTTGATAGTCTGACAGGTATTATTTTATTTGCATCAGAACCTGTGACTTCCGCAATAAATACATCAGTAATTCTGTTGACTGGCTTGAGTAATTGAACAGGAACGAGGAAATAGTTAACGACAAGGGTCTTACGACCATGAATAGTTGAGATCTAACTGATGTACTTCTAAGTCACTAAAATGACTTCAAAGTACTTGCTACAGATGTTCCAGTTGCTCTATTCTATGTCGTTTGCTTTACAGACATATGTATAAAAACTCAAATGCATGTACAATGTACATATTAAATAGGGAAAAGGATCTCTCGGAATGATGCACTTGAGGTAAATAGAACAGCGTGGATATGCTCGACTAAATATGCGGGTTATGCAGCGTCAAGTTTCGACCCTCTGTTATCGTTATCGTCATCGTCTACCCTGTGACACATAATCCTTTTAATTTATCAACACAAATCCCATCAACCCCTTTTGGCTCTTTAACTGTATCGTCATCAGATATCATGAAACATAATCACGTCGATCTAAAGTCACTTTTGTTTAGAGTAAAGCGTTGACATTAAAAAATTTGCAATGGCGAAGTTTAGTTACACAAAAAAATACAATGAATTTAAGTAGCAGTTTGTTTTATCTCAACTGCATCCTGCTGTTGCCCTAGAGTCCCACGAGAACAGATACTAGGCCACCTGTTAATCGTTCTATATACTCGTGAATTGCACCACGATTGCTCAATATATTCTTCTGGGTACTTAAAACAACTAGCTAATATCAAAGTTTTAAAATATTTGGATGCATTTTATTTTTTGTCTAAGTTATTTTTTTAATTAGAATTTTTTAGAAAAAAACGCCGTAGTATAAATTTCTTTATAAAAAATGATCTTATGTAAAAAAAACTAGACGATTTCTGCTAATGGATGGGCGCACAATAAAATTGAATTTTAAAATTCTAGACTAAAATTTGACTGTATGTTTTGAACTAGATAGTTCTTTTAGAAAAACCAGACTGTAAAAAAATTGTTTTAAGAAAAAAATTCTTGAACCAAATAAATTATTTTGAAAAGCTTAATGGTCTTGATTTAAGTAGAAAAATTCTTGACTTGATAAGTTTTTTTCAGTTCAAGTAAATTTTACTTTATTCAAGAATCGTTTTGTCTCAATTCAAGAGAATGTATCTCTTTAAAATTATTCAAAAATTAATCCAAGAATTTTTCTTTCAAATTCATGGTTGTTATGTTCAAAAAAAAGTTCTGAAAAATTGTAATGAGAAGTATACAATTAGAATATATGACAGCAATCAAAAGTTTTTTGATGATTGTCGGCGATAAGGTTGAAAAAACAAGACAGCTACTTTAATAGAAGCAAAACCGCAATGGCTTCGGACATTTGAACTTGGCCGACCGAACTTTAGCTTGTGAATTTGAACTTTGGTCGTTTTAGTTTTGATCAAACTTTTGATACTTTAGCTGGAATAATAATTGTATTGTAACCATTGGATCTAAGAAAAAAGGATCAATTTCTGATGTTGATCCTGTGTAAAATATTGATTTTGTGTCTACTTTCTTTTTCTGATCAAGTTATCATCTTAATTTGGCGGTGTAAAAATGAAAAACTATATCGAAATAAAAAAATCTGGGTTATTTATGAAAATTGAAGCTAATATATATGTAAATTATAACTTGAAGGCCTCTTTGATCCCACCTACATACGTAGTGTAAACAATATTTTAATATTACAGAATAATTCAGATCTTTGTATGAGAAGTACATCAAAAGTTGTTGATTAATGTTAATGTTAGCCGTTGCGAGTTAGTAATTGAGGTCTTACTTGAATGCTGAAGTATTGAAATATTGAAACTTGATCCGCGACCAACTGAACCAAGTCACTAGCAATCTATGACGTTCATTAGTAGACTTAGTTAATTGCCCTGCGATTTAGGTCGACCTCGATCAGTCAACCTTTACAAATATATTTCACTGCAATACACATTATATAAATCACTGCAAATAATTGCTATTATTTTGTAAAATTTTATTTACTTTATTTAGTATCATTTTATTTGTTATTTATTTTCGCACAGTACGGCTTTTTTAGAATCGGTTCTCATGTAAATTATTCACAGAGAACCCTCAAAAATTTACATACCAGAGGAATTATTAAAATTCAGTAGGTTAACATATTGCATCATCGATGTCGTTTGAATAAAAAAATTAAAATACTAAGCTAAACACTTAAAATTCAGATAAGTTTGATTTCATTATATTATTCAATTTTTATTTCGTCGATTGTAAATTTGAATTATTGTAATTATAATTATGTATCATTATTATTTTTATATCATTTAATTTTCATGAGTTTTATAATTTATTATTATCAGTTAAGAAAAGTTGAGCTGATAAAATTATCACCGGTAACGTCGGCAGATAATCATAAGGAAGTTTACCCGCGAATGTAACAAGATGTTTAAAAAGTACTCACAGACTCAAAAGTTGTTGAGGAAATAAAAGTTAAAGCTACCGTACCCTATTATGATAATAAATGTATAGTTTTTAACTTTAAAAATGTTTAATAAAATACTCTTGAAATTTATACTCTAAAAGTTTGATTAAATCATTTAAAAAAATTCAATTATCCTTAACTTTATTATCATTGAGTAAATTATTAATATTTGAATATAAATTAAATTACCATAAAATTTTTTAGTTGAGAGTATTCATAAGACACTATTTTTCAATTAAGAATACATTTCTTCAGTAACATTGTTATTACTATTCCATGAAATATTTACGAGATATATTTACATCCCGGCGTATTTTCGCAACATTTTATGTGTTAATTTAAAAACTCGGCCACATCTTTGAAACTAATTTCGTTTATTCAAATTTTAAATTGGAAAATGTTAAAAATTCCTTCAAAGTCGGCGATGCGTTAAATATGAATAACGAAAAAATTTTTTTCCAGAAAGATTCAAGTACATTTATTTTATTATGCATTTGTTTTTTCGATTTATTCAAGTTCGAATATTCGTCAAGAGAGCTACACAGTCCAAGAGATAAAATTTGAAGGGTTTCATTTTTTTTTGGTACACAAAAAAAAGTGTTTATATTTTACGATAGGTTTTTCAATATTTATTCTTTTATAATTCCAATACGCAATAGTACTCATCAAAAAACTGTACATCAATTTTCATCGAGAAATTTTATTCCTTTTGCAGAAATTGAAGAATTGTAAACATTGTCGTTTTGATCTAAACTAGATTAATTACTTTAAAATTTATCAGTTAATAAAAAAAATCAGAATATACTGATAGCAGAATTTGTTAATATTTTATAACCTTGACTAATTGTTAATTAATTAAAACATCGAATGTTAATATTTAAATATCTACTATTAATTAACTTACTTTTAATTAATATGAATTATATTAAATAAATTAATACATTGTTTCTAAATAAAAAACTTTATTGATAATTCATAAATTTTTCTATCAGTTTGAATTTTAGAATTAAAAAAAGAATTTGTAGTTTTAATTGTTAGCATTTTATTGAAAAGTATAAAATAAATACACACAGAAAAAAATAATGAACGAGTATCATTACTATTATATTTACATATGTCATTCTATTTATTTACATGCTCCCCCAATTTCATAAATGTAACTACAACGGCGTCGATTTGTAAATATAACAATTTTAATTCGCAGCATTTCCGAGTGAGGTATAATAACATAAATGTCTATGTAAATTTAACACCCAGTATTTACATAAGTATATCAATAAATTCTCCCGAACTTCCCGTACAGAAAGGAAAAAAAGAAATACTCGTTAAATTGAAAGAAAATAGTTCCTGTAATGTTTTAGATAAAATAAAAATTTTTCTATCTTTTATACAAAAAAACTTTTGAATCTAATAAAAAACCATGAAGAGAGTTAGTTCTTCTTCCTAAGTACTGAATGAGTTTCACGACTCCCACTCGTATTTTTTAGATCGCAGTAGTTCAAGTTTATGTAGAGTTAAGTGAAGTAGTAAGACCAAGGAGAAAACTTGATCGCCGTTCCGATTCAAAAACATTATTGTACTAACTTTAATTCGAATCACGGTTAGTCTATCGATATTGACTTTCCGTCTTTTAATCAAAGCGATTCGTATTTTCAGCTCCCTTTTGTTTTTCCTCATTGGGAACTTTTTTTCAGACAATTAATTGAAAGAGATCCTCGAAAAAATAAATTAAACTAATTTATCGACTACTAGAATAAACAAGACACGATTTTGTTTTACCAGGTATCAAGTAAGTACTCGAC